AATTTTTTATGAGCTCCTTTTATAAAATAAGAAGATCCGTTTCTCGGGTAAAAATTTTGTAATTTTATTCATAGCAGATTTAGACCCATGAAGTTTTGAGAATTGGCATTGCATACACATTTTTAAATGGCCATATCTTAAGTTATATATATACGATAGGAACTTAAAAGATAATCAACTATTTCAATTTTAAGAAATAGTTTAAAAAATCAAGATTTCAAAAAATTTAAGATTTCTTAAATTTCAAAAAGATTTTTTTTTCCAAATATATTCCCAGAATTTTAATTTTTTATATATTACTAGCTGACCCGGCGAACGTTGTTTCCCCTTGCAATTAATTTTCCTGGCGTTCGTTGCGTTGCTCTTGACTTTCATTAGCACGTGTAATTGTATCCTGGTTTCTTACATCTTCATTGTTTTCTGCCGATCTATTTAACCGACGGTTCTGGAGTAATTGTGAATTCCGAGTCCGTCGACCAATATTTCCTCCTCGTCCACGAAGACGTGGCATTGTTTTTTGTACGTTATTTATATCTTTATATATATAATTTTTCTTTTTTGTGTGTTGAATTTTTGAATTCGCTGGATTTACCAGGAATACCACCACATAACTTGAGATTAAAAATTGGCTCACCTATAATTATGCAGCGGAATTTAAATGCACTTAAGCTATGCAACGTCAGTTTTACAATTCATTTTAGAGATTTTAAAGTTTTTAAACAAATCAAAGTAAGCATGAATAAATTTTAAATTTTTAATATAAATGTATATGGATACCAAAAAATAAAAAATTGATTAAAAAGACATTATCCAGTGGGCCAAATTGTGAATCTAAACCTTCCTTGAATTCACTTGAACACACACAAAAAATTTCATCAAAATCGGTTCAGCTGTTTAGGAGGAGTTCACTGTCAACACATGTACAGAAGAATTATATATATAAGATTTATATTCAGTATTATATTTAAATGAGAAATAAAAGTTTACAAGATTGCATTACTTTTTGAAATTTTTTAAAATTGTTTTTTCTCCCATAAAACACATCAAGTATACGCGTACTATATTTCCAGTGAATGAAGTATATTCTTTGAAATATATTCTCTGAAAATATACTACAAATATTTTTATATAATATTTTTAATTTTGATTAGTAATAAAATTCTACATAAAACTCAAAAATTTCAGGAAGATATTTTCCTTGGAAATACTTTTAAAAAATTAATTTTTCCTTCACACCAAACACATTCACACTATTTTTCAATAAAAAAAAGGAGAAACATGTCAAAAAGAATTTTATCTTTTATTTTTATTTCGAAATAATAAATAATTTCTACTTGAAAAATAAATATTTTTGGTTCTGTATTATCTCCAATAGTATTTAAAAGACTTGATTTATCAGGTACCTCATATGTCACTCATACGCACCATAGTACCATTAAATAAATTTTCCACTAAAAAAGACACAGAACTCTTTATTTTTTATGACTCCAGAAATTTAAGAGTTAATATTAGTACTTAAATATAAACAATCTTAATTGTTTAAAATATTTTTTAAAAGTTGAATTAATTATCTTTAAATCGAAAAAAAGTTCATTATTTATAGTTCGTATGGAAAATATTAATTGATTGATACTGATACTTAAGGATTTAATTGATTCCATAGTAGAAAGTTAAAGAAGAAGAAGTCTTAGGGTGCGAACTTCGACTTCTCCTTCTTTAACTTTCTACTATGGAATCAATTAAATCCTTAAGTATCAGTATTAATCAATTAATATTTTCCATAAGAAAAAGAAAGATTTGAATTTTCTCCAAATGGTAATTTTAACTTCGAAAATAGGAAAAAGTGTATAAAATTCTATAAAAAATGCAAAATGGATTTGGTTTTTATGTAAAAATAAGTTAAATCATTTATGAAAGAATATATCCATATAATGTATCTAATCCTTAAGAAATATTAATCTCGAAACTAATAGAGTCCATCTGGCCAGGAAGGACTTTTACATCCTTAGGGAATTGCTTAGGCAATTAAAAAGAAAAATTAAAATATTTTAAATTAAATTATATGCAATTAATATTAATCTTATATTTTATTCCTACTTTTTATTTTTCTTCAGGTTACAAATCTTCACGAAACAAAAAAAAATCTTTACTTAATTGCAAAAATTTTTTTATTTCAAGATCTCTCAATGTATAAAATAAATTAGACAAATATTCAATTTTAGACTACCTTTATATAATTAGCAATTTTAAAAGCAATTCATTAATTTTTAATTAATTAGTATTTAATTAATGTTTTAATTTTGTATGTTAGTTTAGCGTTTAGATTTCTGTTTCAACATTCTTGTGGTTGAAATAGTAAAACTGTCTCTCGCCAACTTAAGCCTTTCGTTCGATACTGGTGAAATGGCGACTTCTTGAACAGTTAGTAAATTAGACGGTTCACTAGAGGAGGATTCAGGATATTCAATGCTGTCGCGTTCAATATTAATATTCACTTTTCTCTTCTTTCCAGCAATCTCTAAACTATCTCTAACGAATTCGAAATTTTCATTATGTTTTTTATTAACCCTTTTGAATTCTGGTATGGACTGGAACTGCCTTTTGCCTGGCTTTATATTAATTCGACTATTAGTAGATGGAGAAAAGGCAAGCGATGCAATATGTTCCTCAATATATTTCATCTTATTTCTCTTTGGAAATGTAGTGTTCAATTTATACGGTAGTTTTAAAAAGTCGTCTTGTTCTTTATGATCCTCCAAACAGGACAGAACTCTTGGTGAGGCCAATGTCTCGGGCGGCCAATTACACGTACAAGGCGGTGTACACGTACATATAATTTTTTCCTCTATTACCGGCGGTACTACTGGCTGCTTGCACTTATATAATTTGAAACGTGGCAGTCCCGGTATAACAGTTTTTTCCTCGACGGGTGGTCTTCTTAGTACCCAATGTGTTAATCGATCCCAGTGAGTCATGGTTTTCGGTATTTCATGCAAGAAATAATACTTCCAGAAAAAGACGCTAGGCTTTATGCCTTCATAACTGCTGCCAGTTCTTAGTGAATTTAATCTATAATATTCGTAGTTCTTATACGGTGGTAAACTTCTATACCTATATTTGATATTTTCAAAGCAATGCAATTTACGTATGGCACTGGTTATTACTCTGATGTCATCAAAGTCTTTAATATTCATTTTAACTAAAGCATTGGAATCCACAAATAATAAACGTCGACCGTCAATAAAGTTCCGACGAAATGCAGGCTAAAATACTTAATAAATTATTAACTAGTATACAAAAGTGCTTAAAAAGTGTTCAATAAACATTTAAATAAATGTTTTTGCGTATGGTTTAAATTTTTATCTATGCTAACAACAATTTTATACCTTTTAATGGCATGATTTTTACCTTATAGTGATCGAAACCCAAATATATGATCCACCTCATAACATCATCATATGTCCATTTCTGAACGGATGGTAAAGATATCTTGTCCACAGCCATCGCAGCCAATACCACGAGACGATCTGGGGTGGCATAGAACACAATACTAATTTTATTCTTATCGACTTTGCCATATGGCCTTAGGTTGTCTGGTAAAGAGAAGGTAGGAGTTAGACGGATTTTTCTGCGTTCAATAGCTCTTGCGAGTTTATTCGCTTCATGTTTATTCAAAACAAATCTATTTGTCATATTAAATAAAAATATCCAAAATCTTAATATTAAACTAATTTTTGGCAATATTTTTTCAAATAATTTCAGATCAAAAAATTGTGTTCTAGAAAAGTTTTAAAACTTAATGGTATAAAAAAAAACATAGAATATTCTAAGCATGCTAAGAAAAATCTTAGTATTATAGGAACTATGGATTGAAGAAATAAGAAAAGTAAATAAAATACATAATATTTAGGTTTTTACTTATATCACTACCTGAGAATCGAAATATATTTCATTTCTACTCCAACAAACTTGGGGTTAAGGGTTAAACGATTAAACTTTGTGATGTAAGATGTTATTATTTCTGCGAATTCCTTTAAGTTATTCAACAGATCTGTTAAATTGTGTCAGTTCTAGTCAAAATATTTTGCTGAATAACTTGTACTTCATACATGATTTATTATAAAAATAATAAGCATTAAACAGCACAAAAATTAAATATATATCTAAATATAATTTTAAGGCTCTGGTCGTCATATGTGTATTTTATTAATCTTGTCTTCTAGCAGTTCTTGATATATATGTACTTTACAAAATTATCTTTGTCTCATCAAGAGTATTGGTAAAACAATTTTATTTAAACATACTGGGTCACAGATCACTCATGGATGCATGGACGACTAATTCATTAATAAATCGAGTAGATTAGTTTAATTATTCCAGAAGTCCACATCAACGGCAACGAAACTAATTCCTTAAAGGGGGGATTACAGTGATGGCATACATTGTCAATAATGATGTTTAATTTTTGAGGAATTGGTTTTATTGTTTTTATAACGAAAGATTAAAA